AAATCTCAGGGAATCCCTCGTCTCCTACCTGTTTTTCTACAAGTCGTATTTTGTCCTCTGAGTGTGCTTCCTTTGCTTTTTTGACCTGTGTGACAGCATTAGAGCGCACTCTCCTCAGTGAGTCTTTAGCCTTGTTGCTGAGCTGTTTGGCTACCTTGGCCAGGTTCTCCCTGTGCTCCCGAGTCACTCTGCAGGGAAACGGGAAAAATGTCAGAAATGAGAGGCAAAACAAAAAAACGAGAGTGCAAAAAAATATATAATTCAAAGTTACAGGGGAAAAAAAAGGGAGATGGTCTAAATACTGAAATGGGACTTCTTGCTGCATGCCAGCAGCTTTGACATCACTTTTGGCGAATGCTGCCATCTGCAAGCACAAACCGCCTGTTATGCATCTGTATTTACCATGTTTATTTAAGACGAGATGAAGTCTAATACCAGCTCGGTTTGACCGCATTTAAGCGTGAGCTAGGAAGTAATTACTGTGTTTTGTAGTGTACGGTAAGAAGGTTTTATTAAAAATATCATGGAAACAACAACATTTCAGTAAGAGACACTAACAAGCAGTCACAACTTTGTGTGGCACGAGCAAATACACTCTGAAAAACAAAATAATGAAAACTAAGGTCCTCACTCCCACAGATGGGGACGCTAAGTGCCTATAAGCATGACGTCTGATCCTCTTAGCTCTGACTTGCAGTAACCACCAAACAATCTTCCTCAGACCTTAGAGCAGAGCCGAAACATCCGTCATCCTAACAACTTTGCATTCACTCTGCATTTGTTAATCACTTAGAAAGTCCTACTTCCCATTTCACTCTCCCTCTTTGTCCTTAATTGGCTTTTTTTCCCCCTTGTTTTTTGCCTCAGGGACTATTTGCAAACAATCCAAGTGCGCCGTCTATTTACTGCAAACAATACGGCCTAATTACCGATTCCAGGGCCAATCAAGAAGCGCCTTCTCTTTGGAAATGCAAATGTAGGCTTGGAGCGTGCCGAGACTGATTGCAGGGGGAAAAGCAGTCTGACTCTCGTGTCCCTCCTCTGCCAGAATAACACCTGCTGCTCCATGCGCACACACACTCTCATGATAATGCATGCACATAACCACAAGACAGCAGTCATGCACTGAGACGCACATGCACGTGTGTATATGTAAAAAAACATACTTTATATACACAGGCAGAGCAGTTTAGTGAGTGAGTGACTGATTGTTTTGTGTCGGGTTGTTTGATTTGGCCGGGGGAAAGAGAAAGAGACTGACCCAACCCTCACGTCGTCACACCGGGGGTCTCTATACATCTACAGGCAAAAGTCAATAAACCTGTCAGTTTAGAGCACGGAGACGAGTGGAGGAGGAAAATAGAGGAATACCAAAAGAAAAATAAAGGTGAAAGAGAAAAAGAAGTGAAAGATGGAAAGTGCTAAAGGGAGCAAAAATGTTTTCTGGCCTCCGGCGTGTTTGTCTGCGAGTGCGTCAAAGAGAGACTCACTTGGGAACGGGCACCTTGATGATCGTCCCGTCCACCTCTGGGTTTAAGTTCATGCTGCTCTCTCTGAGGGCACGGGTGGCCGCTGCTGTAGCCTGGGGGCACATGCACACAGACACACACACTGGAGTGAATAAAAAGCAAATCTACAAGTGCAGGTAGTGGCTTAGCTACAGCTGGCAATCATTAAGGTGTTGTGTGTGGTGTGTATATGGTGTGTGTGTCAGGGAAATCCCATGTAGTGTGGAACTGCCTCAGGCCACTGTCAACACTTGGCCCCGTGGGACAGGACTGAGAGGTTGCAGGGCAGGGTGGTGACTCCTGGTGACCCCACAGGAGAGTCTGCTTGTGGATGATACATCAACACACACACAAACTTTGAGTTTGTGTTCAGTTGTACTTGAAGGTTTTCTGGCAGAATCATTACCACATTATTGTTATTGTTATTGTTATTATTATTATTATTAATAAAAGTTATTTATACTTTGTTCGCCTGTGAATATGGGGGGTGTATTTATGCATTGTTGTTTTATTACAATGACACACATGTATATATTTATTCACCTTAACAAACAGTAAATGCAAACATGTTTTACATATGTACATGACACAGACAGGAGCTATAAGATTATGAGTTACAGATGTGAAAGACTCATGAAGCATGAACTACACAAGTTATATTGAAGTATATGTAGAATGATTACTGTGTATAATTTTTTCCCCCCTCTTCGGATACACAAAACAAACACTCCTCCCTTAACACTTGTTATCTGTTGCCCTTTACGAGTCCTTACCAAGAAAATAGGAAGTGCTCAACTCTGCTCAGATCAGCAGGATGCTGTGTTTGTTGCAGGGCGCCCTCTGGTGGACAAACTATGCAACATGAACACTCACAGCATGGTTGAAGGGTGTTTCTCTCATTTTTACTTTTATGAATGCAGATACTGATATCAGCCTGCAGCTATATCAGTCACAGTCTAGAAGTAAGACCCCACCAATGGATCATTTTTTTTTATAATAATACAACATCCAACTACTGTTAGCTGCATCTCTATGGTAACCGCTGAATCCTTAAACAACAGCTTGGGATCTGTCTTGAATTTATCAAAATTTATTCATTTCCCCCCAGACTGGAGCTGTCATCATTATAATGACTTAAGATTGGGGGAGATTAAAAGGAGAGCGCTGTGTGGACACTGGTTGAAGAGGCAGCAGTGCTGCATAGAGATAGAACAACATAGGATCAGAAAAACTACTGGACCACAAACACACAATGCACAACAACAACAGCTACGTGATAAGCTGGATTTTGGTCTTTTTCCCAGAACTAAGAAATACACTTAAAACTCAAAATGACATATTAAGACATGTTTACATGTGTAAAACTGAGACATTATCTACCAAGTGAAGCTTAAGTTAAGCAATGACTGCATAGGACCATAAAGCTACAGTTAAAAGAGTGCATAGACACAATGGAGAGGAACAAAGCCACACTCCTCAAGCTAGCGCAACAGTCTCATAACTCAGTTTGCAAAGCAAGCAAATGTGCAATGCATGTGGAGAAAAGAGAAAAAAAGATTTCCTCCTCTTACTTCAGCCGTCACTAACCCATCCTGCTTTCTCAACAGCTCCTTCTGGCCTCATCCACTGGGGGAAAGAAATGGCAGCAACATTAAAGGAATTTATTTGTGTGCATTAAATTAATTCAAGGGGTTTCTTTTCTTTTGTTAAAGTCATTCGGGAAACAGGCCTCCAGTTGCACTCTTTGAGCGAGGGGTGATAGATTCATCCCATACCTATGTTTGATTGTTCTCAGCATCAAATTCATCACCATTTCCCCTCTCTGACGACCACTCCGGTGGTTACTAAAACCCGAGTGGAATTTCTCTGTGAAGGCTGGGCAGGTTCTGGTTAATATGTTGGAAAGGAAGAGAAATTACACTGAAGTTTCACATCAAACGCTCACGACTTGGTTCAAAGCAAACAGGCGAAGGGAGAAGAATGTGTGTGTGTCTGTGTGTGTGTTTTTAAAAAAAAAAACATTTAATGCTTAAACATGGACACACACACACACCAAATTGCCTCCGGATCCGAGCGTAGTGGTTAGATGTTGTTCTCTGTATCGTCCCAGCCTGCTCTTAATGAATGAATGGAAAACAATGGCAGGGCCTCTGTAGTTCCTGGTAATGGATAGGCATCATTATAAGCCTGTTAGCTCTGAGTACTGACGACTCACCTCTGTGTGGTACATGGGTAACACGGGACATGACAGGGTAGCGTGCATGTGGATGAGTGTGTCCGTCAGTGTGTGTGTGGTCTGTGGTTTCTAGAGTTTCTGGGAAGGAAAAAAAAGAGACTCCGGATTCAGGTGGAAAACTGACTTCACAGATTTGAGGTGTTGATAAATACTTCGGATTTGCATGTTGTTTGTATGCTGTGGTTTCACCTGGAGAACAAATGAGGGAAACCACAGCCCTCAGGTGACTGGCTGTGGAAATAGAAGGTACAGGAAGATATTTAAAAACAGGTTTTTGTTTGGCAAGTTGTACTGGAAAAAAAGAAAAGAAAAGGAAAGGAAAAGCTCTTGGATGTCGTGTGCAAAGAAGCTTCTTTTAATTTTTTTTTTACTGAGACAGATTTTTATCGTTTGCCTTCACTGCCTCTTCTACCCATTTTATATATAGAAGAAAAGATGTATGCTGTATCTGCTGTCGTCACAGCCAGTGTACAGTCACTTTACTTAGGACCTGCTAATGCCCCCAATTAAGGAATCTCTGTTTTACAGAGATGAGAGCAATGAATTATTCTGCCACAGTCACATTAACCTCCTAGGACCTGGCGTCCACATATGTGGACATCACATTTTGGGTTATTTAGACCAAAATCCTCAATTTTGCTCTACAAGGGCCTGATATCCACTTACGAGGACATTAAATTGCCACTGTTCTATTGAAATTTTAAACGAATATCCTCATACGTGGCTCTTATTTTCTTAGAAACAAAAGTTTGGTAAAAAAAAAAAAAAATCTGGTAATTCTTTGTTTTTACATTCATCAGGTCCCAATCAACCCAAATATCAAAAAGTAATTAAAAATGCATGCCGTGGAAGAGTTCGGCTCTTAGGAGGTTAATGTTCAGGAACATTTCTGTAGCCAACATAGCACAACAGCAAGCTGTGCAGTTTGTCCACACACTACATAACCAGACACTTTTAACCACAGACTGCATATAAAATATTTTTGGTGTTTTTGGAGCCACAAGTGACCATATTTGCAAAGTTAGAGTACTAATTTATAAGCTAATGCTAGCAAGCCTGATTATTACCCATTGTGGTTCAATCACACTTATTTACAGAGTAAAAATAGTATGGCGGCCACTTCTAAACCTCCTAGGAAAACAATTAATGGTTGCCCGGTGATTGCAATGAGGTTTTTGCTGCTGGAGACTGACTCCTAGTAGTTGGGGTGACCAACTGGTTGCCCATGTTTTGAGGGTGTTGCTCATCCACCTGAGCAAGGACTGAGAGATTTATTAAGGTTTGCAAATAACTACAGACTGATCTGAGCCAGTCTGCACCGGTGAGTGCAACTTTTCTGCCACAGGAAACTCGACTCAATATATTCTAGTTATATTCCTACATAGAAGCAAGGTTGCTGAGTGTCTTGTTGCAGTTAAATTGCTGTTCTAAAGCAAACGTGGCGCAATCTGTGGAGGGATTTCTGAATGAGTATTATGCTGATGAGGTTGAATCTGAATGTGAATGCTAATATGAATTTCTATGTATACAGACAGCAACAAAATTTTCTACAAACAACAACAGATTTGTGATTTTCACTGATTGATCACAGTACTGCACTGTACACAGTCCTCACTGATTTATCACAATCCCTGTGTTATCAAACACAGATTACACATGATTGTCGACTGGCCCTGTTCAATCGGAGACTGACAGCAGAATGACTCCATCACTTGACTGTCTATTCTTAACTTATCCTCCATGGTCATTTCTCAGCTTAAAGTACACTTTCTATTATAAGCAGCATCCATTAGTTCTGTCTCAACTGCCCTCGACCACAAAAAGTACAAAAGATGGAGGTAGGCTGCGTACAAACTCAAGTTATGTCACAGCGACGCAACAAAGGCAGTCCAAATATGCAACTGGAAGAATGCGTCAGGTGGATCCTTCGCAGTCCACCCAGATTCACTGCACATTGGTTAATGTAGAGTAGTTTTGGGGGGAAAAAATGACGGTGCAAGTGAACAGTACAGGAATACAGTTAAAAGTAAGTGCTGGGTTTTATCTCAGTCAAACATCCAACAGTTCAAAACGTTAAAATAACAAAGAATGTTAAAATATTCAATTCTGACAATGTTTCAGCCAACTTATGTGACATGCAGCTCCTGCATGCTTTTAAAGCCTTTACATTAAAACAAAAGAAGTATGTAGCTTCTGTGTGATGCTTGTGGTCACAGACAGACACCCGGTCCTAAAGAAGTCTATGGGAAAATGACCTTTAACCCTGACCTCTATAAACACTTTCCTGCTGGGATTATTCACTCAAGCACCCATTTCAGGTGATATTTTAGTCATTCTAAGTAAGAAGGATTACCCAGGATACGCTCATTTACTAACCTCTGATTGACAAGTCATTAGCGATGAGCACTAGACCTGCAAGTCTTAACACCAATACTTATGTCCTTCACACAAACACAGTCGAGGAAAATTCCTAACAACAAAACAAACACAGTCTATTACAGATAACTGTAAAACTAGAAAACTAGCAGCACCGTGACAGGATGTTAACACTTTTGGAGGGAGGAAAAAAAAAAACAACCACAAAAAAAACTCAAACAACCACCTGAAAGATGAAGATTGTTTAGAGACAGGGTGGAAGGGAAATGCTTGAGGGAGCAGCTCAGGAATACTGGAGCTCAACGAGTAGAAGGAGTCTCCCTGGGAGGCTCAATGTAAACCTTAAAAAGAGAAAAAAAAAAGGAAAAAAAGGCCTGTATGCCAAACTGTAGCGCTCTGGAGAGTCTGACAAAGGAGATGGCAGAGAGAGAGAAAAACTGGAGAAGGAGATGAAGGCTGTGGAGGAACAAAATAAACTGTAGGAAGAAAGAAAGTGCTGGATGAGGAAAAGGAAAAAGTTAAGGTGGCAATCAGAAAACTGAAAGAGGAGGAAAAAAAGCAACTGAAGAAGGTAAAGAAAGACGTGACAGAAGCAAATAGGAAATATGACAAGAGAGAAAGAAAGATGAAAAGACCAAAGCTGAAAGGGGCCAAGAAAAGACTGAAAAGCACAGGGAACCGTGGGAAGACAAGAAAGAATTGGAGGAAGTGCAAAAGACAGTGCAAGAGTGGCTGAGAGAAGCAGAAAAAGAAAAATAAACTTGGTGAGGAAAAACAAGTGGTGGAGGACACAAAACAAGTATTAAAAGGAAGTGCAGAAGGAAACCGAGGGCAAAAAAGTGAACTGGATACAGTCAAACAAGAAATGGAAGATACGAGAAAAAAAGGACAGGCAGTGATGGAAAGAAAGCGGAGGAGGTGAGGAAGAACCTGGAGACCAATACGGAGACTGAAGATTGGACCAGATGTGAGGAAAGACAGAAAAGGATGAGAGGAAGCAGCTGAAACACAAAAAATGCGGATAGGACGGTGGAGTAGACTCCTCTTCCTTGCCACTTTCTCCTCATTGCCTCCAAGCTCCCTCCGTCTCCTTCATCCTCATCTTCTCCCTCCATCAGCCTTCTACTTTACTGCCTCTTCCTCTCAGGTATGCACAGCGGTTCAGTGACTAACATTATGTTACATGTAGTTTTCCAGGTAAACTCCATCCTAGTAGAATTATAAACCAGTATAAATAATTTTTTTTTTTTTCAATTTTAAAAAATTAATCAAAAGAAAATAAATACATTTTTATTAAAAACCATTGAAACTTCATGCGTGTGTCGGTGTCTCTTAATAAACAGAATTAGACCTCAGCATGGCTGCTGGTTGCTGGGAAAACACAGGTGGTTACTAAAGTGGATTGTTTGTACGAGTGTCTGTTGTTCCCAACCTTCCACTATGAAAAAGACCAACTTATGACATTGTCTGATGATGTCACTGTGATGACATAACTGGAAAAAAAAGAGACTGTCGGGAAGTTTAGTTTTACTTTACTTTTACGATCTTAGACATAACTCCTGAGAATTGAGTCATTCTTTTTTCATAAGTGCCCGAATTTCAGAGCGGTGTTTTCCGCAGGTTGATAATATGGTGGTTGTGGGTGGCGTGGGCAGAGTTTCTCTAAACACCTCATAGGCATTCAGAGTGACTGAAATGGGCCTTTAGAACAAACTATTACCAGAATCAGCCCATCCTTACTTTTCACTCCATCTCTCTCAGGTCTGTTTGAGAGTTCAGACCTGGTATAAGGGCTTAAACTCAGACTAAAAGCTAGCCATTTAGTTTAAGAATCACCCTCAACTAAAGCAAACTGTTTAAAGAAGTGAAATCAGTCTAAATTTGACTATTTCCTGTTGTGTGCTTCCAGATTATACCAACACTGCTGGGTTTGGTTTTTTAGTTTTTCCTCCACATAAATGACATTTTGGCATCCATCCAAAGGGGTTTAAACCAGAGCCAAATGGAAAACAAATACATGTTAATTGGGGTTTATTTACACAGGCAAAATAGTCAATCTTATTAATAAAATAGTCCTAAACAGTAAGAAATTGCACACATTTCTGTGTCTCTGTAGTGAAACCGGTGACCGTGCTTTATTGCTGTGCACAGCCAATCCCCCAAAGGCCCATAATGAGCCAGGAAAACCCTGGTTATGCATATTTCCGTATTGTATCCTGTCTGCTGCACTTTTCCTCATTCATACATATGTGGAGATATTTTCATTTGCAACATTTTCAGATCATTTTTTTCTTGTTTGTCATTTGCAAGAATAAAGGACTGTGCACATATTTCCGTTCAATATTTAATGAGATCAAAGAAAATGTAGCAGACAACAGAGAAAGTTGAGCATATCGGTCATTAGCGTCTCTGGATATATGACTGTATAGTGACACATGCAAGCACATTCAGCTTTTCCAGACCACCAGAAAGTCTGGCCACCAAAAAACGTGAAAATCTACAGAGCAAAGGAGGCAGCGAAAAGAAGCAAAAAAAGAAAAATAATCCATTCCTTCCTAACCTGGGGGTAAAATGAGGTCATTTCCTATTCTGTGACAACTCACACTAAGACATATCCACGCTGCAGTACACACATACAGACTTTTGTTGCTATCTTTCACCCCAGAACAAAGGGCTCCCTGAGTGATCAATCAATTAGCATCTGAGACACAGCATAGAGAGAGAGAGGTAGGTCAGGTTTCATTTACAGAGTGATGTGAGATTCGAGTTCTGGTCTGGCTTACTTTTCCTTCTGTGAGGAGGACCATCTATCTGTCTGTGCGTCTGATTATTTTTACAAAGCTTAGTTACTGCGCGCTTGTCCATATGAGACAAACTGATACCGGTAGGAAGAAATCATAGCTGTGTGTGCTCTGTTTGACTCTGTGTGTGTGTGTGTGTGAGAGAGAGATCGTCTTACTTCAGGGAAGCTGCTCATGTTGACCATAATGAGCTGAGGTGACTTCATGGAGATCTGGCCCAGCTGCTTGAGAGGGAACTTCCCATCTTGAGTCGTCACCACAATGTGATCCAGAGCTCCTAAACAAATACAGGTCAATGCCAGTGTTTACTTTCTTCATTTATTTACCTTCATGGACAGTTTAGGCATCATTGTGTTCTCACTGTGTGCACTGTAGCATCCCGATTTTTCCTTTGTATTCGCATCACAGGATTAACTGTTCTACTGTAAGGCAGATTTAACTTATACATTTAATGTACTTTAATTGTTTTTCTGTCTTACTGTTGTTTTTAATTATGAAATCCATCTTTCAGCAAGATATGATATGCATTGACCCCAGAATTATAATTATAGATTCATTATCATTTTCTTTATATTTTTCTTTGAAGGAGCCAGACTTTATTGCAATTTCTTTTAAGTAGTATTAAGTAGTAGTTCTCCAGGCACTCTGAAGGTCTTTCAGAGTGTCTCTTTGGACATTGGCTGCTTTTTTTCAATATTTGAAGACCAAAGAATCAATTTTAAAATGTATTTTAAGGCATTTTGTTACTAGCAGAAACACATAATTTGTATAGTTGAAAAAAAAAGCCAAATGTAACACAATTTGATGGGAATGAAATAATAGTTTAGCACCAACAAGGTAATTCCCAAAGAGCTCTTTGCGGAAAACTTGGCAAATCATGGTTAGGAGAGAGGTACAACAGTCAGCATCCACAGCCATCTTTAAAACACGGCGGAGGCTCCGTCACAGTGTGGGGACGCATTTAAGTGAGTTGTGTTGGCAGAATCGTCTCAAAATTGCTCCAGCAGCACCTGGAAAGTATCCGATTGTATTGAATGGCAATGATCCCAAACACACTGTTAATGCAGTAAAAGCATACCTGGATAGAAAAATATACAATTGAATATTGGTCGTGGACTGGCCTCCCCAATGCCTGGACCTCAACAGTGTGGGATCATTTTGATACAGAACAAAAGGCAGCCAACATTCAAAGATGAGCTCTGAATTAAACTCAAATAAAATGCCTTAAATGTTGTATTTCCATGTATATTTCAACATGTTTGAGTGAATAACTGCACCCATTTCCCCATTTTTATAGTAAAATATAAAGAAACGGAGGCTGGCTCAAGACTTTTGCACAGCACTGTAGCTGGACATGTTTTAATAACTTATTTCTGCGCACACATGTATTCATATTCACATGCATCCTTATGGCTGTCCTCTTTTCAAAACAGTAACCTAATTATCGCCTCTCTGTGACGCATTTAGAGGAAACCTGTAAATTGTAGCTTTAAAATCAGGTGAAAGCAAATCAAAAAAAAAAAAAAAAAAGCAGCAGTTACCACCACGAAACAGCTCAGTTGATTACTAACAGAACAGTAACTGTATTTCTGGTTAAAGCCAGGTTAATCATTCATTCTTGCTTCACAGATGGAGGGAAATCTATTTTTAATCACTCCATAAATCAGAAAATACTTTCAAGAGCTATAAAAAAAAATCAAGTCTTTTGCAAACAAAGTAAAATTTGTCTCTTAAAGACATATTATCAAATGGATTCTGTAAAAACCTTCAAAATATAAACAGAGAGGAAAATAAGAGTTTGTTAGCGCTCCTAAATTGGAAGATTTCGAGCTAAGAGTATGAAAAAAGATGTCTTTTTGATTGTGTCTTCTAAAATCCTGTACTGTAACATTCGATTTGTCAATTTTAAACCAACATTTGTATTGCAGTGATTTGCACATTTGCTTAACAAGTGAATGATTCCCAGTCTGATCCGTGGATGAGGCAAACAACGCCTTGCGATGCTACGGCGACTACTTACGAGTAACAAAGCAGCTGCAAGTAGCTTTATATCACTTTAAAAATCAATCAGAGGCTTTTTTTCATTACAACCTTTCTGAAAATATATGTATGATAATACCGATGGAGTATTTTATCATTAGATATTAACTACTTTGGAAGAACGACGGACAGACCAGTTTTGGTCCCAAATGTGTATTTTGGAGCTTAAGCTATGGAAGCAAAATAGCTGAAATTGAAAAATAAAAATGGTCTGACTATAGAGTTTCACCCTGTGTGTTAACACCAGCACTGGCACATAGTTAATAAGATGTTGCTATGGTGTAATGGAATAGATGAGGGGAAAAATCATTTAGTCCTTTGGACAGATTAACAGATAGACAGAGGAACGTGCAATAGCACAGTGAAAAATATTAATTTTGAGACCACTGTCAGACTCTTAAAAGTTTCCATGATCTATTGTCTCCCCTCTTTGTCAACACTGAACGAAACTAATGCATGTTTGCCAACACAAGCTGACTTCTGTCCCTCCCTCCCTCTCTGCATCCACCCACTCCTCTCCATCCTCCATCTGGCTAACCTCAGACGCGCTTGTTTCCTTCTTCTCCACCTCTGCCTTACATCACTCCCTCCCGGCTCACCCGGTGGGGGGCTGCGCTAGTGGTGTGTGATTGTGGAAATGTGAGGTGAACCGAAGGTGAGCCAGTGGTGTAGTTTTCTCTAAAAGATCAATTTATCATATGATTTCAAGGGTTAAAAGAGAGAGACATATCCAATCAAAAAAATAAGATACAGCTGCAATGAATTAAAAATAAAAGGTTGGTATGATGTGATAGCATGGATATCAGCTGACATGCTGCCTACTTTGCTGCTAATTATACCGTCTCTCTTTTTTACTTTGTCCCTCTGTGTACATGCAGACAGCTCATGCCCATATCTCTGCCTGTCTGACTTTGTTACCTGCACCTTCACAACGAGCACCAGCACATCTGCAAGTACTTTAAGCAGGCAGGCCGGCAGACAGTCGGTCATTGCTACAAAGATGGATGGTGAGAGGGGGTGGCAGCTGGTTGAGATATCGGATGAAATTTGGCTAAAATGCTCTTTATTTTTTAAACACGTTGAGTTTTTAACGATACCAAAAACAGATTTTAAGCTGTATGCTGCGTCTGGGTGTTGGTGTAATCAGGATACGTACCACATTAATTTGCACTTTTTCCCCTCCTTTGTGTCTTGTCAGGCCAAATTCTCCTTTTAAAAAGGTGCTGTAAAAATTTACATCAGTTCCCATCTCCTTCGCCTATCTCAGCGAGTGTTTGTCTGAACCGTTGCAAACTTGCTGGCTGTAATGTCGTTCACCCGAGTAAGCCCAGTGCTCAGTTTGAGGTTGTCTGGATGAGCGGTTCTCGCCTTTTGGTACTTCTCCCTTTCCTGGAGTGACTGCTGCCTGCTCCAGTCAGTTTTTTGAGGAAAGGGGTACTGTGCAAAAGTCTTGAGCCACCTCTCATGGCTTTATATTTTGCTTCCAAGAAGCCAGACTTTATTGTAATTCTTATAAAAGTGATCTTGATCAATAGTTCTCATTTTCTTTGAACAATGACTCATTTTCAGTCCAGTCTTCATACCCCATTTTTTTGTAATTATTTAAGTCACTTAACACTGTCCTAAGAATCGTTCAAGGATAAACGCCCAACCTAACAAAACACCAATTTTAAATGCACTCTTTTGCTGAAATGAAATTTGCACCAATTTATATTTTTGCACCAACGAGGTGATTACCAAAGAGATACTAACTGAAAACCTGTCATATATTGGCATGGAGCGCTGTGCAGTGTATGCCAAATTACAGTAGAACAGGAATGAATCCATTCTTAGCAACAGTTCTTAATGGGATGCAAATCCAAGTGGAAATTTTTCAAATTATCATCAGTATGTATGAAGGAGATCAAGACTAGGCTACAACAGTGAGTGGGTACAGGCATCTATAAAATACATTGGAGTCTCTGTCATCTTCTGATTGACAGTGGTTCATTTTTCACCATAACGATGATTCCAAGCATACTTTCACTGCAGTAAAAGCACATCTGCACAGAAAACACACTGGAACACTGTCAGTCATGGATTGCCTCCCCAGAGCTCAGACCTCAATATTACTGAAGCAGCTTGGGGTCGCATTGACAGAGAACAGAATAAAAGGCAGCCAACAACCAAAGAAGAGCTCTGAATGTCCTACAAGTAGCCTGGAGAACTATTCCTGAGGACTACATAAAGATATTCTTAGAAAGTGTGACTAAGAGAGTTCAGGCTGTGTTGAAAAATAAAGATAATTACATCAAATACTGACTTTCAAACTTGTACAAACTGACTTTGGATTTGCAAGTCTCCAATTTTCCTAGCAAAATAAAAAAACGAGGGGTGGCTTAAAACTTCTGAACAATAGTGTAAATGGTTTTTGTTTCACATAACAGCAAAGCTGTGGAGTAATAATACTGCATCTGTGTGTGCTGACCGGTGTTCTCATTTACACGTGAAAAGCTTTACTTCTGCTCAGATTGTTGAGGACAAAATGTTGCACCTATTTGAATCCAATGAAAGGCAGCACTATGATTTTGTGTAAGTGCTCTGACCTGTGCCCGGTTGTGTCTGATTATAAGTGTCCTTGTTAGAAGAAATTTACAAATATAGGTGCTGTCGAGAAATGCCAACAGCACAAAAAGGGCGATTACCAACATAACCATTTTCTGACGCGCTACAAACACTAAATATGTTGGATTAGTGCATTTTTTTGCGCTGTCCTAAATCATACATCGGCTTCTTAGTCATGAATACTTTGAGACCTCCAGTCCAACCCTAAACTAAACTAAACTCTGGGGTTTTCCTGCATATAAAATTCTGTTCTATTGGCCTTCTTCCAAAAGAAAATCACCAGGGCTGTGATAAATTAATACTTCAGGCATTTCTTTTTAAAGTGGTTTTATTTTATTTACTCCAGGATAAATATGCTTTTCTTTATCAAATGGCCAGGGGTAAAAGGAAAATGTATATAGCTCTGTTAAGTAAGACTCATTACCGTATGTGGACTGATGTGCTTTTGTGTGTAGTCTCAGCACAGAGCCGCGTTTTCAGCCAGGAAAAACTCGGTAAACCTAATTCTAAACTTTCCCTAAAACCAAGTCTTCACCCTCAAACAAGCTTTTGAAGGAGTGTGAAAAAAGGAGGCAGGCCAAAACACTCTTTTACAAAAACCTGTAAAAATTTCATAAATCTGACGTCCAAAACCAGTTCTCACAAAGACAGCTGGACATGTTTTTATTCAGTTTAATTTCTGCAGATCCAAGCTCTGAACCAGCTCAATCACACACACACATGCATCCAATGAGTGCATCCTCATAGCCGTGCTCTTTCCAAAACGGTAATTTAATGATTTCCTACATGTGATGTGATCAGCGGGTGTCCACATACATTGCAGCTTGGGCGGATTACAATTACCGCAATGAGAGTATATGCTGATTAAAAGCTTAAGAAATGGCGATATCCATGTTTCAGCTAGTTGTTTTTACCCGTCTGCGAGAAACAAGAATGTGAAGTCTACTTTAAACAATGTTTTCTTGGACACATCGCTAGTTTCCAAGTCACATTACCCATCTGCGATGACCATGAGATGGTGGGCGTAGCACTGATCTCCCACTCTCTGCATTTATCTGTCTGACTTTGTGCTACGTGTTTGCTGCACACATAAGTACAGACTCATGGCAACAAACAGCAGTACATACAGTCATACACTCACTCTCATAAGTTTAATGAGAGCCAGATGAGAGGTTCATGAACAACACACACACACACATACGCTCGGACAGCTGACGTCATCCCATTCCACCATCTCATCTCTGCTGTCAACTCTAAGTCCTGCTGCCTCCCTGGATTACTGTCCAGCTGGACAGAGGAGAGGGGGATGAATGGACCAGAGGAAAGGAGCGAGGGATATATAGATTAGGGGGAGGGGACACAGGAAGGATGACAGAACAGAGGGATTGATGCAAAAAACGGTAGAAAGGACTGGAAAAAGAGGAAGTGATGAAGGGAACTTTTGACTGAAACGTGTTATAAAATTGTAAAAAGGTGGTTTAAAAATTTCTTATGTGGTCTTATCTAGTCAAAAGACAAAGTATGAAGCTGAGAAGCACTGGAAAATTATAAGACAAAAGTAATAGAGGCAGGGCTCCACACAGAAAATGACTCAGAGCAAAAATCAGTTGAGTGATAACCGGATTAAAAAAAAGAAAAGTTGGGAATGTGAAAAGCAAAGCTGGACACTGAAGGGTTAATGATATTGTATGTGTCTTCATTCTGTGTAAAAAAAGAAAAAAAAGGAATACTACACTAAAAGCAAATCAGATACGTGTGCGGAAGAAAAGTGGAACAAATTCAAAGTAATTTCAGTTTGAAGTCCGATTCAGGCAGCTGCCTCGTCCCCCGGGAGCTTCCATTACACACCCCACCTCTGACTCCCCGAGCGCGCCCCCATTTATTAAAATGCAGAGAGAGAGAGAGAAAAAAAAAAGAGGCTGTGACCTGGATGTACTTGGGGAAGCAGGGGCCAAGGCGGGGTCAAGGTAACATCAAATAGGGATCTCTTTATGCTAAGCCTTTTGGCGCCGTGTCCGAGAAAGACTTTGATTCCAAAAGTTTTAAAAACGTGAAGAAAAAGCCGCCCTGTTAACTACAGTGCACACTATATTTGGACAGATACCCATTTTTTCCCTCCAGTATGTTAATTCTGAAAATGAAATAATGAATACCACATTAAATGTCTTCCTCTGGCATTATTATAACCCCAAAAAACTCATCTGTCTTCATCATAAATGCATATTTTCCTTTAAAGATGTGAACAAGAACAACTTTTCACATTTTAGGATGAAAATTAGCCCCAACCCCCCCCTCTCAAAAACATGCAGCTCACCTAAACACTCTAAGGTTTCAGCTGTAATTCGAGCAGGTTTGCAGAAATCTGAAAAGAACTAAGTGGGAGACGTAATTCTTTTAACAGCTTAGGAGCACAAAAGTAAATGGAAAGATGCCCGTGAAGGAAAACAATAATAATAATAATAAATGCTTTTGGAAGAATCATTTACATCATTACCAGCATGATGTCTATCGACTTCTCCGAGGCTTTAACTGTTTATCGTCATCGTCTTTTAGATTCTCTCTCTCTCGCTCTCGTTCAATTTTAATGGATTGTTTACATGACCCTACTTGACTCAAAACCTACAAAGTTTGATCAGAATTGATTCAAGACCTTTCAAACTATCGGGCTTACAGACAGAATGTCAAAAACATAACCTCCCTGGTGGTGGTAAAGATGAGCAGAGGTTTCTCCAACTTGTCATCATCTGCAGTACATAATATCATCAAAAGACTCTCTGTATGGTGACATCATCAAAAATTAATATTGGCCGCCTGTGATCTCCGAGCTCTCAGGCAATGTGGATTAAAGACTGATATGATTCTGTCTTTGAAATCACTGCATGGGCTCAGAAACATTTCAGAAACCACCGTGTGTGAACACCGTTCACCGCGATGGCCACAAATACAGGTTAAAGCTCTGTCAGAAGAAGCCACACATGAACGCAATCCAGGAATGCTGCCATCTTCTCTGTGCCAAAGCTCGGCAAAGTGGAAAACTGTTCTGTTGTCAGATGAATAAAAATGTGAAATTCTATTTGGAAAATATGGACACTGGACTACACAGGAGAGGGACTGTCCAGCTTATTATAAGTACTCAGTTCAAAAGCTGGCATCTCAGATGGTGCATTAAAGCCTACAGAACTGGCAGCGTGTACATCTGGAAAGGTACCATCAATGCTCAATGGTTTTAGAGCAACATGTACTTCAATTCAGACATCATATCTCAACCAGTCAGTAGCATGGCTTTGTAGCAGAAGGGTGCGGTGCTGAACTGGCCTGCTGGCATTTCAGACCTTTGACCAGCTGAAAATGAAAAATATGACAAAAAAAGACCTGGGACTGCTTAGCTAGAAACTCATAGCAGACACAAATGGGACAACATTCCTCTCCCAAAAGTCCACAGCTGGACTCCTCAGTCCCCAGATGTTCACAGACTGTTGTTAAAAGAAGAGAGGATGCAATGCAGTTTAAAGCTTTTATGAGACTTGTTGTTGCAACCAGATCTCAAATTCAAAATAAGACAATAATCTTCTTAAAATGTTAGATTTCCTCAGTTGAAATAGTTGATATCATCTATGTTCTATTTTAAAATGTTGTTTCTGCATTTTGTTTCCATTCACATTTCACACAGAATCCACATGCCTTTGTGGAATATGCCTCTTTGTGATATCCTTGTTATGTGAGGCTGGTGAGCTTTTCTGTGCATGAACAAAAGCTGGACGAGCACACAGGTAAAGTTTAGCTGCCACGTGTTTAACTGTCTTAATGTTTTCAGTCTGGACTGTACGTACATGAAGTGATGTCTGAACGTTTCTTTTAACTTTAGAGGTAATGCTTTCATGCTTCATCTGCCTTGTTGGTAACCCTTTGTTCTCTGCTTTGAACTTTGTACTGGAACAACAAGGAATGAAAGGCACAGTCCAAAAAAGAAAGAAAGAAAAGTACGGTAAGCTCACTACCTGGCGAGGTTCGGATGCTGAGGTTTCGTGTGAAGTCATCTTTGAGCGAATCGAGAACAGTGGTCATGTCCTCCTTCACTTCATCCAGACTGATGATGTCTTCCACCAGAGATGAATTAATGTTCACCTTCCCTGACTGGCCCTTTGCCTTGGCTTTGAAGATTAAATGAGAGAAAGAAGGAAAAAACAGAGGGAAGAGTGGAGACTCATCTAGATAAATAACACCACATTTGTGCCAGCAGAGTCATAGAAGTTGTACAAGTTAACTTCAGCAATCTCCTCACTGACCTTTGGCCTTTTTGGTGGCGTAGAGCCTGATGCATACAGCAGGAGCAGGGTGGTGGAAGGCGTCAGGAGCCAGAAGAGGCCTAAGGCTGACTCTGGATGTGAGCGGAGACCTGACATGTCGCAGCAGGGGCTGACACAGGAGAGGCCGCAGCAAGCTCAGATGATTCAAAGCCATAACTGTTGACACAGAAAAGGGGGAGAAAAAAAGTTTAAATTAACAAAACATTTTAAAGTAGATAAATGCTATACAGCTGAGTTTGGAAGGGCAACATGTGATTACATTCGACAGAGCTACAATTCAATCAGAAAAGCAGTTGAAAGCACAGCTGGTAATATTAATCAAAATGAGGTAATAGCTCATATCAGCCAGCAGGAGGTAGGCCTTCATCTTCTTCTAACAGTACAGTACCGTAGTCTGTGTGCACCTCAGTAAATGCATGTTAATTTCTGACAGAATTGCAACTAAATCAAAATGAATGCAACCTACTAATCTGTCATCTGCTACATTTGCTTTGTAGCATTTCTGTTACGGTCTCCATAAATTATTATGGAGCATTCAAATCTAATAAAAGGGATTGACTTGCAGATGAATGATCAATATTTGCTCTTTTGTAAGTAAATGAAACCTGTTATTAAGTGAGAGCACATAATGGTGTGCACATAATGACATCATAAACTAATGTTTGCTTGATAAACAGCTGATCTGATCTAATTTTTTCCAAATTTTTGTAACTAATTTTTTCCCCTGTGAGGTTTATAAGTGATCTTTTACTCTATGTTTCTGACTGTGAACATGCTGTTATGTTACACTATCCGGTAAAGGTTTTTTCAGTCCCTTTGCCACGGTTGTGTAAATTCAAGTACCTAGCCGTGCAGATTGTCTTTACAAATGTTCACTCTAAAGAGCTCGAGCGTGGTGCTGTAACAGGATGCCGCTGTTTCAAGAAGTCACTTTGTGAAAGTTCTTCCCTTGTAGATACTCCACAATCAGCCCTGAGTGGAGTGATATTATTGCAAAATAGAAGCTTTTAAATACCACAGCAACACAGCCAAGGAAGCACAGTGGTTAGCACTGTCACCTCACAGCAAGAAGATCCTGGGTTTGAATCTAGCTGGGGCCTTTCTTGCATGTTCTTCCTGTGTCTGCACACAGTCCAAAGATGCGCATGGGGTTAGGTTACTAGGTGATTCTAAACTGGTCGTAGGTGCGAAGGTGAATGGTCTTGATAACTGTTCATACCTCCTCTGGTATTAACATCAGCACAAAAACTGTGTGCTTAAAGTGTCATGGAGTGGGTTTGTGTAGGTGGCCAACTACGTTTATCCTTATAGTGTATCTAAGTCTTTCTTTTTCCCCACTCTGTGCAAACGTTGTAAACCTGCCAGGGACTGCAGATGAAAATCAGCCAGTGTAACTAAAGCCCATTTACATGAGTCTCGGTGTACATGTTAATGTGCACGATCCCCTTAAAACATAATAAAAAAAATAAAATAAACTCTTTTCATGAATAATCATTTGCGTGTTTGGGTTGTGAAACAGAGATAAAAGCCTATGAATAAGAAATTCTTGAGAGCAGCTCAAAAATTACTCATCAACTGATCTAAATAACAGTTTATTATTTTTCTGGTATTCCAAAAAAAATGAATCCTTTCCACCTGAATTACAGCCCATGCATTTGACCAGAGTTTCTCTCAAAGTAGAACAGAGACAGAGGTTGGTTCTTATAAATCCATCCACACGTCACTGTTTTTGTGAAGCTTTCAACAGTCAGCTCTACCACCTACATTACATTCAGTTACACTCATACACTTAAAAACATGCCATTTCTCATAAATCTGTGGGATAAAGCTAACCATTATCTCAGCCCACGCGCACTCGTCTGGGCATTCCTGAGGGGGGAACCTCCCATTCAAAAAAAACCCCCCAAAAAAACAACAATATGACAGCAGGCCCTGCCTTTCAATGGACGAATCACACCCCACCTCACAAATGGGCTCTTGACTGTGAACTGTGTCACTGACCCTCGGTGTGCACACACAAGTGCAGAAAAGCACGGAGATATTTAAGCCCCCCATACACAAACAAGACTCTAAAGCCTGTCTTTCACAGTCAGTGGTTGTGAACAGCGTGCGGTGCACTGCTGCCCACCTGACATCTTCTATTGTGCCTCGTGTATTTATTGCGACCTGTGAGGGGAAACACACCGTCTGAACAGTCTGAATACCCAAATTTAACATTTTAAGTCAAAGGCTGTGTCACAGTGAGCTTTAAACAAGCCACTGGGTGTGGTTTGTCTCCAACCAGACATGACACTGACCTCACTGTTCGCCATTCTACCTTCAGCTACCACTAATCCCCGAAGTCAATCCAACGCTCACTTCAGATATTAACCAACATCCAAACTCATTCCTGCGGCAATATTTAGGCTACACAGTACACCACCACCTCCAGTACAAGCCCAAAACAGGTATCCACGGCTGGCAGGTTTCCCAGCAAGTATGATGCGACACGCCACAATGTGGCAGAGACGATAGGCCGAGATGCGGGACGGTGACAGATCTCTTTAAGAAGCCAGCCGAGCAGAAAGAGTGAGGCACAGGTGTTCAGTGGGATACTGTATCCTCACGTCCTGTAGATTTCACACACACGGCAGCAGCTGCAGACACACCCTGCGTCTTCCAGCAGCAGAAACCAGCTGGTGAACCCGCATGCTCTGTCTCCTTTCGCTCTGCAGCCTGAGCAGCGAACAACACAGCAGAGTATCTGATGATGTTCTGCATGGCTCTGCTTCCACAAACAAGATGTTCATGCTGGGAGCGAAACAAATTATTTTCTTCTCATTAAAAACCATTGAGCACACCTGGTTTAGTGTGTAATGAATTCCTAAACTTTCCTCAAATGTTCTTTTTTGTCGAATACCAAAAATGCAAAAGATCCCCATATTTTAGAAGCAGGCACCAGACAATACTTCACATTGTTACAGGCTTGAGGATGCGATCAATTCAAACGAATCATTTCATCACATAGTAGCACTGCAGTTCGACTGATATAACAATCAATCACCATAATGTGTTGATGAATATGTTTTTACCACAGCATAATGTAGAAATGATGAAATGGAGACTCATTTCTCTGATTTGTTCCCCCAGATCTCTTCCTTCCTTCGTCCTCTGGCCTGTGACCAAGTCTTAGCACCCAGTGTTGAAAGGTGCAGCTGGAGTAGAGAAAAGGTTCTCTGGCAGAGCTTTACTCAACGAAGCAAAAGTGCCACTATTGCCAAAGTGGGTTTTTTTCTTGGTTTTTTTAACCATCATAGTACAAAAACAGGAATGGCACACAGCTGTTTATTTTGGGTGATTGAATGCGCGACTAAACCTTCTTGTCTTCACACTCTGTGTGCGATTAAAAGAAGGTTTGATATCTTGCCACACTGTCTCATGTTGTGAATTTAATTTTGATAAAAGTCCCAAATATTGAAAAAAAAAGGTCACAAAGAATGTTATATCTGTGATAATGAACACAATTTATACAGCAACAATTCATAATTCAGCTTTGTCACACATCATATTTAAATGACATGGCTTTAAAATGTCTCATCCCTGCTTCCCCCACACGCTCTGTCTACAGAGAAAAAGAGAAAATATCCAGTCAGCAGCAGGTCTCTGGTTGAATTGTCTCTGGATGCCAGAGAAAAATGGTCAGACTGCTTCAAGGTGACAGGAAGATAATAATAACTTTAATAGCTACTAGTTACAACCAAGGTATAGAGAACAGCATCACTGAGTGCACAACACGCCGAACACTGTGGGATACAGGAGCAGAAGACCACACTGGATGCCATTCCTGTCTGCTAAGAACAGGAGAGCGAGGCTATAATAAACGCGATCTCTCCAAAATTAGACAACAGAAGACTGGAAGATGTTTCCTGGTCTGATGAGTCTTGATTTCTGCTGCAGCATGCATCCATCCTGCCTCAAATCAGCAATGATGATGCAACCCATGGTGCAAATAGCTCAAATAACACCAAAAAGCACTGGTTTCTTGAAAATGACAGTGGGTTTACTGGACTCAAATGCCAACCAATCCAATACAGGCAAGATGAACCTAATATCCAGTGAGTCTAAATATGTAAAAACAGGAACTATTGCTTATGTACATGTTTTAATGGACCTTTTCACAGACTTCCTGTTACCCAGCTGGGTATGAAAGTGATAATTCTGTAGTTTTTCCGACACCAACAGTAACTTCACAATTAATCAAATCAAACACACAAATCAATAAGAAACGTGCGCCCCAGCCATCTATGGGGCACATCACATGCGCAACTTAACATGACGTTAAAAATTCATGTGTTTTTATATTACTGTGGACTCGGTCCTGCATACAGCACCAGAATGATTCGGTGCAAATTTCACAGCAGTTGGGAGCTATCATACAAGCCCATGCACATTTAGGTTAACTAACTGTACAACTCTATAGCTGAGGGGTTGAGAAGGTCAGTAAGACTTCTCTCCATTCTTACAGGGGGCAAATTGAACCAAACTGAACTGTGTTCAGCACAGTGCTACCCTTAATTTCAACAACAACCCAGCAAAATAAAAGCCTCAACTGTAAAGTGCACCAGAACACACACTTACTTCAAAAAGTCTTCACAGAAGCGTGACAGCCTGGGCAAAAGCCATCGGGGAAAACGCGTTTGACATCTATTTCGTCATCACTACGAGACTGTATGTTATGGCCACCTGGTAGATGTTCGATATCTGTACGGGTTACACCGACTGGGCGGGGTTACCGACTAAGAGGACACTGGAAGCGTTGTAGGAGAATGATAAAGGCGATACCAAACAGTAACCGAGTGCTCCCATAGCACTCTGCGCATGCTCAAACAAACTACGTCATCACCCCGCGCCTTTGTTGTCAGACGGTAGCGAGGTATCGTCAGAGCTAGCTCGCCTAGTCTCTAATATAGAACGAAAACAGTTTAGGAAATGGTTAATTTGACGTTTTGACGCACCAGAATCATCCCGAAGGTGGGATCAGTGGTAAATCAATTCGAAGAATTCGCCAGCGAAGAGGAAGTTTGACAAAAAACAAGGTAAACGGAAACTCACTTAGCTAACTGCTGCAATCCACTGCTCTTCTATAACGAAGTGACTGAGAGCTCATCTTCATCACATATGCTACCACCTGCATAACCGTGTTTGGTTTAACTCTACCCGGACTGATCTATCCGAAGAAGTTCCGCAGTTAAGGAGTAAAATTGTACGGTTTGTTAAACTAAGATTATCTGCTTAGCTTTTCCCAGATGTGGAGTCGGAGTTTTGCTTTTTCAGATGTTTTCAGGAACTATGTGTTTATTTGACAGTGCGAGGAAGTAACCCACACTACGTTGTTTCCTGATTCTATTTCCTGATTAGGTTAAAACCCCTGTTATGAAACATACATCGGCACAACCTTTGCGCATACATTGCACACAACTGCTTTATATTTTAATTGAATGAAATTAACAGAGTTAGATCAGAAAATCGCTAAATTTCACTGTTTAATTGGACACTTTTTAGAGATTAGATCATTGGCGTGGTAGTGGCTATGTCGTAGAAAGCATGTTGGTGGTAAAACTGCCGAGCAGAAGGAAGAAAAAGGTTCGTGGATGTAGGGAAGGAGGACATGCAGAGGGTTGGTGTGACAGAGGAGGATGCTTGGGATAGTGTCAGAGGAAGGAAGATGATCAACTGTGGCGTCCAATAAAGGGCAGCTGAAAGGCAAAGTTTTGAGACTCTTTATGATTTATGTGCAGTTAATGTGGAAGCTGTTTATCTGACGCTTTACTTTTTTGACCTTTCCTAGATTTTTCCTTCAATGAGGGTATAATTAGTTGAATATCTGTATTTGGTTGAGCGTGCAGATGCCCAATAGGTGTCCAGGTCTTCTCTGGTAGGTTCCTTCATGTTCCAGAGATTTCCAGAGGCAAACGCCCAGTTGTTGAGTGTCTGAGCTCCATGCAAATTCATACTTGCAATAATCAAAAACTCTGCCTTTTGCTTCTTTTATCCCACAGATTCCACATGTCATCGGCAGCAGAGACAGTCGAAAATGCCTCTATTATTTCAGAGAGCACGGCCCATGATGGAAACCGCTTGTGGATAGGAAACATTGATCCCAAAATCACAGAGTGAGTAAAAAAAAAAAGTCAGCTTCTGCTTTAACGCAAGCTCATATTTCATCTTCATTGATCCACCAGATATCACTTTAGATAGTGTAAATTATCTACAACACTTTAATCCGTTAGTAATGATTGCAGGGATCTTAGCTCATAGTCAAAGAGCCACTGGGATTACAATAGAGCTGTGGCATAGTGAGCATTTTTAGGAATTAAATGTAACGTTTTCAGCCTCAAATGTGCGAAAGCGCCACTTTAATATGGAGTAACATTTAGTGATGGCTTTTAGTGGGTCATCTGTGGTCACTGTAATAGATGGTATGAAACTGAGGCATTGGTTTGTACCTTCTACCCCATAGAAAGGCAATGTATTGTGTGTCCGTGTATGATTGATTAACTGTGTGTGTAGAGTGTGTGTGTGTGTCACAAGCTGAGACTGAGCAGACAGGGCTGGGTGTGTGAAAGAGAGGCAGTGAAGCGCGGAGACCTGCTCGGCTAAGGAGCAGCCATCATTCCTCAATCACCTGCCCTGTTTACTGTTTCTGTGTCAACCTGGAGCTGTGTGTGTGTGTGTGTGTGTGCGCGCGCGCGCGCGCACCCATACACACACAGTTGATGTTTGGGTGGCAGCTGGTAGAGGCTTTGACACCCAGAAGAGTCTTGACAGAGCATCACATGCAAATCCTTTTTGTTCCTCCTTCTTTGTGTTTGCTGCTGAATGCTAAAGACATCCCTGCATATGCTGTGATGAAGAGGAGGTAGTTTTTTGGGGTGAGGGGTGTGTTTGTACGCCTGTGGGGGCTGCTGGAGAATGTACGGGCAGCAGCTCTGGTGGGCGTCTAGACAGGCGTTTCCTTCCCCTTTCCCTGCTCTGCTCTGCTTCTTCTTAAATGGCCCTCTACTTCTCAGTATGGAGGGAAAACAAGAGAAATGCTCAAGGCCCCCGTTGCTGATTGGGAAGATTAATTAGCTCCGGGATAGCACGCAGTACCCCCTGTGTTTGTCTGGGTGAGCCAAACTCCCTGCAGAGGTGGAAAATAGACCTGAGATGCAAGGTGCTGATGCCACAAGACAAAATGATTGAACTGAAACAAACTGTTTTCAGCATTTAAAATCAATACAACTATAAACTGCCCCCAATCTTAATTTATATCATTTTATTACAAAAGATGACATATGAGTAATTTATTCTGTGAGGGTGAAATTTTATTTCTTTGAGCTTGGATCATTTGAAAATACAAAAGTGTGCAAAAGTCTTAAGCCCCACTTGATTTCTTTATATTTTGCTCCCAGTGATACACACTTTGTCTTTTTTTAAGCAGTAGTTCTCCAGGATTTCTGAAGGTCTTTGAATTATTATTATTTTTTAACATTGCACCCATCTTCAGTCCAGTCCTTGTACCTGGCCGTCCCAAAGGAATGTTTTTTGTTTGTTATGACACTTAACACTCACCTATGAATTATTCAAGTTTTAAAAAGGCACCTAACAAACTAGATGAACCAATGTTGTGTCTACACATAACACACAACTTAGAAATGAACCAATTTTAATGTGTATCTTTAGGTATGTTGTGACTAGCAGCCTGTCACAAAAGTATATAGTTTGTTCCAATTTCTGTAGTTGAATCTACAAAAACTGCCAAAAAAAATTTGGTTTGACTTGGAGGAAACAGTATTTTGCAGTAGCAAGGGGATTTCCAAAGAACTATCAGCTGAAAACTCTGTATTTTGATTTTGATCCACAATGCAATACCATCTGGAAAACATTTGAATAGCAGCGGTTTCCCAAAAACACTACCAATGCAGTGAAAGCATACCTGGATAGACAAAGACACAGTTGAACACTATCAGTCATGGACTGGCCTCCCCAGAGCACAGACCTCAACAGTATTGAAGCAATGTGGGATCATATTTGACAGAGAACAGAACAAAAAGGAGAAACATCCAAAGAGGAGCT